TTTTTTTAAGATTTTATTTATTTATTTGAGAGAGAGAGAGAATGAGAGACAGAGAGCACGAGAGGGAAGAGGGTCAGAGGGAGCAGCAGACCCCCCGCTGAGCAGGGAGCCCGATGTGGGACTCCATCCCGGGACTCCAGGATCATGACCTGAGCCGAAGGCAGTCACTTAACCAACTGAGCCACCCAGGCGCCCTCACCCTTAACTCTTAACCTCTGGAGACAATAAATCTGAGGGAGTAAGAATAAGTGAGGAAAGCTCTTTAAGAGTAGATTTGTTGTTGTTGTTGTTCTATTCTGTTATATACCATTAAGATTTAATGGCAAGACAAATGGATTCTGGGGCATTATATGTCCCTAGGCTGCCTTAACTTTTTGAATCTAATAGTTGAAAATAAAGTATCAAGATACAACTGCTATTTAGCCATTCATTCTTGCACTAAATATAATTTTACTGAATGTTTACCACATGCCAAACAGCATGCCAGCCACTTGGAAGACAAAGCAAGTAAGGCATGGAACCCATTCTCCAGGCCCTCACAGTCTAATAGAATCAGACAGAAGTCATTGCAACAAATTGTCCTAAGTGGCTCCCACTGTGGATGCCAAGAAGGCAGCAGAAGGCCACAAAGCTTTATAGAGAAGGCGTACTGTGCTGAGCCACGAGGATGAATGTGCACCCAGGGGCTAGGGAGGGAGGGCTCCTGAGTCAGAGGCCGTAGTAGTGGGAACAGAGAGGAAAGCAGCAAGGGTCTGGGTCTGTGGCCTGGCCATGTGATTCAGGCGACAGCCACCCTCCTGCCTGTCCAGAGAAGAGAAGGGAAGGAGGAACATCCGTGAAATAGGTGAGCAAGGAAAAACCCCCAAGTAGTAGCTCTCGTCTGTAGAAGGGGAAACAGGGACATACATGTATCTAACTTAGAACTCAGATGACTTTTGTTATCAGTTCATTTTCTTCTGGAAAACAAGGTGTATTTGCCAGAAGCGTGTTGGTGTCTCTGCCTTTCGCTGACAGAGAGAAATGGTAAGCCATATTCTCTCCCCAGTCACTCCCTGATAGGAAGGTTAGATATTAAAGGAGAGAATATGACCTCCTTCTGATTCATAGACTTCCAGTCAATGCAATGTTACTAAAAGAAAATTTTCAAAATAAATAGAATGACCATGAAATATGTTTATTTTTCAATTGCAAATTTGTGTGATTATATATGTGTATGTGTACATATATATGTATATTTTTATATATATGTCTATATTCTCATGTACGTTACATGAAATAGAGTTTATAGTGTAATTTACAAATACATGATTTTACTATTTATCTACTGACAATTACACTTGACTGAATAGGTATCCTGAGTATGTAAAATAACATAATTGATTTAAGAGCATCGACTCTTTTGTAGCTTTAACATAGTTTGATAGCAAATAAAACCAAAACAAGTTTTGAAAAAAACTTTGTGAATTTTTTTAGGCATTCAAATTCAGAAGGGAATTTCTTTTCTTCTTTTTTTATAGAACTCAGACTGTTAAAAGGCAAATCTTTGTTTAAATATAGACTAAAAGCCCCCATTTAATATTTGCCTGCTTTGTTTTGTCCCATGCAGGTACCCCTGCGAAATGCTGACAGAATCAGATACTCCCTAACTTCCTAATTCACTTGACTTTCTTGATGGGGAGTGGGATGTTGAGCCCAGCAATCTGTCTCCGTGTGTGCTGAGATAGTAACAAAGATACTCTTGTCATTTAGATTTGTTCCCCAAATCATGACTGGCCAGATCCAAACCTCACTGTAGCACTGATCATAAATCGTGTCCTCCGTGCATTCAAAGGGGGAAATGAACATTCTTTTCAGTTCTTAGCCACTTCCTTTTGAAATCCCTGAGAGACCAAGAGAGGCTGCAGACAGTGGAAATAAGCAACAAAGATTTCCATCAGCATCTCGCCTTGCTTTGGTCAATATCCCGCAGTATTAAATGAGCAGCCACTATGATGCAAACTGTTCCAGGCGCGAAAAACTGGTCTTGTGTTTTAAGATGTTGGTTCTCGTGGAAAGAACTGGGACTGGGAGGCAACCCTCGCTCCTCGGCCCAGTGGGGAGGACAGTTCAGGAGGGGGAGACTGACCATTCCCATACTTCCCACAGCATCCAGTCTGGCCTCCTGCTCTAAGGCAGCAGTAAAATTCCCTGCACACACCTGAAGGTGCACGTAGCCTCTGTCTGCAACTCTGCCTACCGCCCACTGCCTTCCCTCCTATCCCAGTGTTTCTACCACAACAGTTCAGACACATCTGCACCAGATCTCTTACAGCTTCAAGCTTCAAGCAAAGGAAAAGGCGCTCAGGAAGTAGTCCGCAAGATGGGTCAGCTGCCACTCTGGTCATCTGAGGCTGTTGACGGATCCTAAGTGACGAATATATGCGACTCATGCAGCCACAAGGCCAGAGGGGCAGGGAGGGAGGCAGAAGGTGATGGAAGATGGGACTGGGGGGGGGTGGCTATAAGTTAACTGCATTCACTCAACCATTAACTCACCAACTATTTGTGGGATACCCTTACACTGTTCAGCACCATCAAATCACAGAGGATACACGCTGAACAAGACAGACATGATCGGCAATACCTCTCATTCAGCATTTTAAAAGTGAAAAGAATTCAAGGCAAGCACATTTCTCAGTCTTGGGGAGTCATGGAAGGCTTCAAGAAGGGTACAGCTAAAGCATGAAGGATGAAAAGATGTAGATAGATGTAGGGCCACTGGGGGCGGAGCTGGGAGCGGCCACTGGGGTGCATGCAAGGGGAATGGCGACAGCAAGTGTGCCGCAGGGAGGACACTGGCCAGTCCCAGGCCAGAGCATCTGACCCTGCTGAAGGGGACTCCAAATCCCTAGATATCGGGTTGAGCCATAGGAAACCCTCATCTTTCCAGATCAACGTGATCTAATATCAGTAATTTCACACGGCTCAACCAAGTACTTCCCTGGATAACATCCCTTGACCATTCCCGGTCTCAGTTAGTTTCTCCACGGGAAAAAGCACCCAGTGGCATTGGGAAACGTGACAGAACCAGTACAAGTGAGTACCGGTGGTGGAGTGACAGTGGCAGGGTGATGACGCTGAAGGACACACACAGGCCACATGGAAAATGCAAGGAGCCACAGTAAGATGTTTGGGCTTTATCCTTAGGATGATGGGGATGACCAAATTTGTATTTTAAGGTGCTCACTCAAGACCACCTGGAAAGTAGAGTGGGAAGGGCGACAAGAGACGGAAAAACATAAAAAGCAGCTCTTACGGTCATTCAGCGAGAGAAGACAGACCCACAGGAGCAGGGGAAGTTTGGGCGGGCTCGAGGGCATACAAGAGGCCAGCCTGGCAGGACCGGGGGACCCGGAGCGGGAGGCGAGGGCCTGGGGAGGGAATGTAGGTGTCACCCAGGCCAGGTGCAAGGGCCCATCCAGCCGGGTGATGGACCGTTCTCCGGGCTGGATACACAGCAGGAGGACCTGGTGTGGAGGGAAAAGGATGAGTCCTGGGCACGACTGCTCACTCAGTTCCGATGAAGAGGAGAGCGAAGATCCGAAGCAGCAGGAAGCGAAGGGAACGAACGTTTGCTGACTGCCCACTAAGTGCGGGCTTTATCTCTGCTATTTACTTCAATGCACGCCCTGACTCGAGAAGGCAGGTACCCCTCCTTCAGCTTTATCGCTGGGAGGCTGACGGCGGATGTTCACTGGAGGTTAGGCAGTTGGATAAGCTGTAGAGCCACATTCTCAATGGGCGTCTCTCCACCAACGCCCAAGCTCCTTCCACTCGGAGCTGCGGACCAGTAACCCAGTGGGTGCGGTGTGGTGTATGGTGTGTGCGGTGCTCACGGCTAAAACTGTTAGCTGGATATGGTCAACAGAGATATGCTGAAACCTGCCTGAGTACACAGAAGAGAAGGAGAGGATGCACTCAGAGCAGAGCACCTGATCCAGATGAGTATCCTACTTTCTAAGGAGGGGAGACATTTCCTTCGAGGATGCTAATACCTGCGTGCCCTTACCCCACACTCTCTACTGACCACCTTTGTCACAGGTCCTCCTTGTGTCTAGGGTGCCAGAGGCAGGGGAAACAGCAGTCAATGGTTGGAAGAACTAGCTTTGCAAGCTTTAGAACAAATCCCATAGTACCTTCCCTGCCCCGCAGAGCAGAACTCAGCAAAACAGCATCTCTCAGTATCTTTTAAAGGACAAGCATTTTAGCCAATGGCGTTATCTGAGCCCATAAAGGTTTAAGGCATAGCCTATTTAAAGAGTTATTTAACAATTCCAAAAGAGTAGCAAAACAGTCCATAAAGCTAAATGACTCCCAGGAAAGAAAGTACACATTACATTCTCATACTTGTTTCCTTAATTAGGAACAGATCCTGGTGGCTGGGATTTATTTTCATGAGCACACATCCACAAAAATGAGAAACATCTTGACATGCTGCAACATCCGTAATGTTTCTCAAATCTGAATTTCTAATTGGGTTAAAAAAAAAAATAGCAACCGTGAATTTCCATGCTGGTTTTGATTCAGGATTCAAAACAGAACCTAAGATGTGCATTTTTTTTTTATATTGTTCCAAAACATGTATAAGCTGGGTCAAAATCCATAAGACCCACTTCAGACATTAAAAAGAAAAAAACAGACTGAGGCACGAATTAGGAATTTAACATGGCAAAGAAGATTCATCTTATGGAACATGAAAACTAACTTGTGATCTCCCCCAGACACTTTTAAACATCTTCACCTATTTACCTTTTATAAAGAGGAGAAAAGGACTGGGGGATGTTTATATGGCACCTGCTTGAATCCTGTTACAAAATTCAAAGGATTCCTTTTTGTGTGTTTTTCTTTGTTCACTTATTACAGAAATTGGTGAGCCTTTCTCTTTGCTTTCACTAAATTCTGTTACAGTCAAGAACCCAGGCGCACCGTGGAGTCTGTAATGAAGACATTCTTATCCTTACCTACGCAGCTTATCCTCAAGCATTTTCATGTACTTCAGAGCATTCTCCTTCACACCCATTTCTGCAAAACAAAAATCCAAAGTTGAGGCAATTGTACTCAAAGATTGAACAAAACCCAGAAGTGCTCAACTAAAAGCCCAAAACCAAAGGATCGCAGTCAGGCCGACAGTAATGATCACCTCCTAGGTTTGGAAAGCACGCGAATCCACTGGGGTGGCCGCCTGGAGCCAGGTGCTGGAAATGCTGAGAAACACATGGAAACCTGATCCCGACAGAACTTGAGCTGAGTTGCCATCAACGGCTCAGCTTCCAAAGCTGAGAGGTCAGTGGCCCCTAGAGATAAACTCAGAGCCTCGTAATCACCATACGCTGGAGGAATAGATGATTGTTGTGCCCCCATGGATCAAAGAGGCACTTTACTCATAAAAAGAGATTTGGTCTTTTGTAAGTGACGAAAATGTTGATTTTTTTTCTGTCCTCTTAATACGTTAAAAAAAATCAAAATGTTGGGCGCCTGGGTGGCTCAGTCAGTTAAGTGTCTGCCTTTGGCTCAGGTTGTGATCCCGGGATCCGAGGGGAGCCTGCTTCTCCCTCTGCCTCTCTCTCTCTCTCTCATGAATAAATAAATAAAATCTTTCTAAAAAATCAAAATGTTGATTTGACATTGTCACTTTTTTAAAATAGAGGGAATAAAAGGGACAACTCATGCCGTTTTACTATAGAAATAAACATTTTTGTATTAAAGAAAGAGAGATTTGGTGCATTCTGGACAAGTCCTGATCCACCCTCTCAAGGTGATCACTGGCAGAAATGGGAATATGAAGTGCCCAGAAGAGCAGGCGGCAGCAGAGAAGTCCCCATCAGATGGTAGCTGTAATGAGTGATGTCGTCACCATTTCTATCATGACTATTATTATCGCTATCGTGGAGTTTATTAGTGCTTTTATCCCAACCTGTGTTGTCAAAAGTAATTCATGCATTTACACTCTAAAGTTGGGGTGTGTGGAAAGCAGAAGTCAAGCTGCCTCTCTGCCCTGAGCCTCTGCCGAGGGGGCTCTCAGGACCCTATTTTATCACCACGTGTGTGTTAGGGTAAAGGACAGGGGGGTATATTTGGAACTGGAAAAAGGACCTTGAAATTCCTTGTAAAGATTTATACAGAAATTAAAGCAAGTTCTGGTTCATCAGTTCATAATGGATAAAAACAGAAATGTACCCAGGGAAAGCAACTCTTTAAGTTGGTCTCTTAATCTTATTGATTTATGCCAGCCTCATTTACAAGTGAAGTTGTGCTGAGTTTTTTTCTCCAAATAAATTAAATATTTATTTTCAGCACCTACTGTGCATTGGGTACTGCGCTAGCATGGGGAGTAAGATGTGGGCATATGGCTCCGTGAAGCAGAGATCTGTTCCCTGGTTCATCCAGCACAAGGACTACAAATTCAGAATGTCTCAACCGGAAGTGCTCTCTTTCACATCCTGTACATATTTACGTGCCACATGCCATTCTAAGCCCTTGGGATAAACCCGTGAAAAGAAGCAATAAAGATTCCTGCCCAAATGACCAACAGACATATGAAAAAGTACTCAAAATCACTTGGCATCAGGGAAATCAAAATCAAAATCTCAATGAGATGCCACCTCACACCAGTCAGAATGGCTAAAATTAACAAGTCAGGAAATGACAGATGTTGGCGGGGATGTGGAGAAAGGGGAACCCTCCTACACTG